ATTGAAATCAAAGAAAAAAAAATCAGAAAAATTTCTCGAAATTTTTATTTTCAAAAAAAATTTGGATTTTATATTGAAAACTGACACTGGGAGGACGATAGGGCTGGGATTGGAGATACCCCGCTCACTTGGGAAAAATACGGATCTATACACAGTATAAGTACCTCAGATGAGGAAAAAAGTCTTCAATCAGTATCTGATTGAAAAAGAAAGTCTCCAAAGATCATCTCAAGTAGTCTTTTAAGACTTTATTCTTCATTTGGGATATAACACCTGTACAAGTATCTCAGATGAGGAAAAAAGTCAACAATTCAGATCTTAAATATAGAAGTTTTTTTTTTTCAAAAAATATAATGAATTTATGCTAGTATATGTCCTTTTGTAGTACATACAAATCATAAATATCATACATTTCTATATGAATCACTTTAAATTAAATTCGGGTTTTACATAGGGTGCAAAAATGTGCAAAAACGATTATTTAAAATTGAATTTGCACATTTTTTGTGTATTTGAAAAATTTTGGATTTGACCATTATTAAAAGTCAAATCCACTAATAAAGAGTAGCAACATTTGCATATGCAAAAAATATAAAAGAAAAATCCATTCATTATTGAATACTTTACACGGATTGATTTTTAAATGCAAAAATAATGCACAGGTTGAATTATTTGCACTTGTAGGAAAAACCTTAACATACCCATCAATTTTTTTGTGCAAATTTTAATGAATTTCTGCAATGAAATCGTTTATCTTAAGAAATTCCTGAAACCGATTTTAATAAACAATTAGATTTCTTGGCATAATCATATATGGGATGAGTGTTAATTCAATTTTAATGCATAACCAATAAATCATGTTTTAAGCGAGAATTGAATTTGAACTAAGACTCACTTTTTACACATAAATCAGGCATTATAAAATTTTAAAATAATTGACTATAATGTTTATGATTCTACAATAATAACTATAGAATAGCTAAAAATTCGCATGGAAAATTGTTGAGAACAACTCCCCAAATATGTTTCGAATTGAGTAATTCGTATGTAGCCATTTCCTTCATGGCCAGTTTCGGTGCCGCCATGTGGACTTGGCATAGATGTTTTGCCATCAATCATCAATCCATCGGTGAATTTATAACCGCTGTAATGAATTGATGGATCGATTGAATTAGAAAATTTTATGTCACTTTTTGTCGAGGAACTCAAAATAGCGATACAATCTTTATAACCGCTAATGAAGGAGCTTCCCCCTCCACCACCGGCATAATGCGGTATATCAGAGTTTCCACCGCCAAAATATCCACCGCCGCCACCGCCATTCCCATCATTATCACCTAAGGATTCTCTTCTATTTGGATCTCCAGCTCCAAATCCAAAAGTGCCAGCATGACCTTTTCCAGGTCCTCCTGATGTCTGGTTGGCACCAATTCCGTGCTCATATGTGCTGTTAAATCCAAACAATCCGCCTCCAGCACCACCAAGATCGTAATAATATGTGCCATCTATGAGGACACCATCAGAAGATCCTGCACCGGCAGCAACGATTATTCGGCTTTTCAAGCCGTTGAAGTCTCCATAATCGCCTGGTTCGAGGCGAATATCAGACGATCCGTCACCAGAAATCTGGCCAGGACCTCCACCTCCATAGGATGGCAATATTGCGTTATGATAAAATTGAGATCCGACATGAAGATATAACTTTATAGATTTATCAAATTTGATATAGCCTTTGACGTATGCGCCGTTGGCTCCAGATATTTCGCCTGATGCACCCCATAATTCAAACAAATATTTTCCAGGTTGGAGGAGAATTTCATAAGGTTCTGAATGTGTTGCATTAATTCCTCGATAATCATATAGAGCAGTTAAGTTTTTCGTTTGAACTTATATACTATTAGAATTACTTATTTGTTAAAAATACATATAAAAAGTGTCAAATAAAATTAACCTTATTGAAAAAATTAGTAGTATTCGGTCTCATCATCTCAATAATTATGAACTATATTATTGAAAATGTATCAATAACAGAATTTCTTCGATGAAATCGTTTATCTTTAGATATTCCTGAAACCGATAATAATAAACGATTATATATTTCATCGCGCAAACATATATGGTATGAGTATTAATTCAATTTTAATATGTAAGTAATAAATCAATTTTTATGTGAAATTATCATTATAGAGTCAATCTTGTAAAATAAAAATTAAAATTTCAATTCTATTACTGATAACATCAGGCATCTAATATCCAAAAATAAAAAAGTTATCAGTAATAGAGCATCAAAATATTCAATCATCAAAATAATTGACATTGCAGTTTATGATTCAATGATAAGAAATATAAAGTAGTTAAAGAACTTTATCGCATATGATTGAGAACAACTCACATAATTTGTTTCAAATTGTGTGATTCGTATGTAGCCATTCCCTGAATGGCCAACCTCAGTGCCACCATGTGGACTTGGCATAGATGTTTTACCATCAATCATTACTGCGTCTGTGAACTTATAACCGCTGTAGTGAATTGATGGATCAAATGAATTAGAAAATTTAATGTCACTTTTCGTTGAAGAATTCAGAATGGCAATACAATCTTTATAACCGCTAATGAAGGAGCTTCCCCCTCCACCGCCACAATGTTGAGGTATTTCGGAGTTTCCACCTCCGAAATACCCACCACCACCGCCAGCATTCCCATCATTATCTCCTGAGGATTCTATTCTATTTGGATTTCCAGCTCCAAATCCAAAAGTGCCGGCAAGACCTTTTCCGGGTCCTCCTGATATCTGAGTGGCGCCAAGACCATGCTCATATGTGCTGTTAAATCCAAGTAGCCCGCCTCCAGCACCACCAGCATCCTCATAAAATGCATTTCCAATGAGTGTACCATCCTGAGACCCTGCACCAGCAGCAACGATTATTCGACTTTTCAAACCGTTGAAATCTCCAAAATCGCCTGGTTCAAGGCGTATATCAGATGATCCGCCGCCAGAAAATTGGCCTGGACCTCCGCCACCATAAGACGGAAGAGTTGCACCAGAATAATATTTAGATCCGACATGAAGATATAATTTTATAGATTTATCAAATTTAATATACCCTTTGACGTATGCACCGTTCGATCCAGTTCCTATGCCTGAAGCACCCCATAATTCAAACAAATATTTTCCGGATTGGAGAAGAATTTCATAAGGCTCCGAATGCGTTGCATTAATTCCTCGATAATCATACAGAGCAGTTAAATTTTTCGTTTTAACTTAGAATCAATTTAGAAAACCTTTTTTATCAAAAGCTAAGACGAAAAGTGCTCAATAAAATTAACCTTATTGTATCATCTCAACAGAATTATTGAAAGGACATCAATAACAAAGTTCTGATATAATATCCATGAATCATGTTATCATCAGTAAAACTACAGACAGTATTTCATTTTTCGAATTTATCGAAAGTGTTGAAGATATAAATAACTAAAGATATTCATAGAATACTTTTGAGAACAACTCACAAAATTTGTTTCAAATTGAGTAATTCGTATGTAGCCATTTCCTTCATGGCCAGTTTCGGTGCCGCCATGTGGACTTGGCATAGATGTTTTGCCATCAATCATCAATCCATCGGTGAATTTATAACCGCTGTAATGAATTGATGGATCGATTGAATTAGAAAATTTTATGTCACTTTTTGTCGAGGAACTCAAAATAGCGATACAACCTTTATAACCGCTAATGAAGGAGCTCCCCCTCAACCGCCGTAGTAATTGGGTAATTCGGAGTTTCCATCTCCAAAATATCCGCCACCGCCATTTCCGTCATTTTCACGATAGTTTCCTAATCTATTTGGATTTCCAGCTCCAAAACCAAAAGTGCCAGCAAGACCTTTCCAGGTCCTCACGATGTCTGATTAGCGCCAAGACAATGCTCAGATGAGCTGTTGAATCCAAACAGCCCATCACCAACACCTGCACCAGCAGCAACGATTATTCGACTTTTCAAACCGTTGAAATCTCCAAAATCGCCTGGTTCAAGACGGATGACGGATGATCCGCCACCAGAAAATTGGCCTGGACCTCCGCCGCCATAAGATGGAAGTTTTGCACCAGTATAATATTGAGATCCGACATGAAGATATAAATTTATAGGTTTCTCAAATTTAATATATCCTCTCACGTAAGCTCCGTTAGCTGCAGTTCCACCACCAGATACGTCCCATAATTCAAACAAATATTTTCCTGGCCGAAAGAAAATTTCATAAGGCTCTGAATGTGTTGCATTAATACCTCGATAATCATATAGAAAAGTTAAATTTTTCGTTTGAACCTATCTATATTTAAAACTACTTTCTTGTCAGAATCAATTATGAAAAGTGACAAATGAAATTAACTTAATTGCTCTCTGGAAATATTGAGAGTACTTGCCAATATAAGATAACGTAAACTATATAAATCTGAACAAGAATATTGAAAGGGCATCAATAATAGTTCTAAATCATTTATTCTGTTTATCAATCAATATATTTTATGCATCTAATTCAAAGCTTAAATAATCATCTATAAGTTCACATACAAATATTCAAATGTCAAATTTATTGAAAGTGTTGTTTATGATTCAATGATAAGAAGTATAAAATAACTAAAGATATTCATAGAATACTTTTGAGAACAACTCACATAATTTGTTTCAAATTGGGTAATTCGTATGTAGCCATTCCCTGAATGGCCAACCTCAGTGCCACCATGTGGACTTGGCATAGATGTTTTACCATCAATCATTACTGCGTCTGTGAACTTATAACCGCTGTAGTGAATTGATGGATCAAATGAATTAGAAAATTTAATGTCACTTTTCGTTGAAGAATTCAGAATGGCAATACAATCTTTATAACCGCTAATGAAGGAGCTTCCCCCTCCACCGCCACAATGTTGAGGTATTTCGGAGTTTCCACCTCCGAAATACCCACCACCACCGCCAGCATTCCCATCATTATCTCCTGAGGATTCTATTCTATTTGGATTTCCAGCTCCAAATCCAAAAGTGCCGGCAAGACCTTTTCCGGTCCTCCTGATATCTGAGTGGCGCCAAGACCATGCTCATATGTGCTGTTAAATCCAAGTAGCCCGCCTCCAGCACCACCAGCATCCTCATAAAATGCATTTCCAATGAGTGTACCATCCTGAGACCCTGCACCAGCAGCAACGATTATTCGACTTTTCAAACCGTTGAAATCTCCAAAATCGCCTGGTTCAAGGCGTATATCAGATGATCCGCCGCCAGAAAATTGGCCTGGACCTCCGCCACCATAAGACGGAAGAGTTGCACCAGAATAATATTTAGATCCGACATGAAGATATAATTTTATAGATTTATCAAATTTAATATACCCTTTGACGTATGCACCGTTCGATCCAGTTCCTATGCCTGAAGCACCCCATAATTCAAACAAATATTTTCCGGATTGGAGAAGAATTTCATAAGGCTCCGAATGCGTTGCATTAATTCCTCGATAATCATACAGAGCAGTTAAATTTTTCGTTTTAACTTAGAATCAATTTAGAAAACCTTTTTTATCAAAAGCTAAGACGAAAAGTGCTCAATAAAATTAACCTTATTGTATCATCTCAACAGAATTATTGAAAGGACATCAATAACAAAGTTCTGATATAATATCCATGAATCATGTTATCATCAGTAAAACTACAGACAGTATTTCATTTTTCGAATTTATCGAAAGTGTTGAAGATATAAATAACTAAAGATATTCATAGAATACTTTTGAGAACAACTCACAAAATTTGTTTCAAATTGAGTAATTCGTATGTAGCCATTTCCTTCATGGCCAGTTTCGGTGCCGCCATGTGGACTTGGCATAGATGTTTTGCCATCAATCATCAATCCATCGGTGAATTTATAACCGCTGTAATGAATTGATGGATCGATTGAATTAGAAAATTTTATGTCACTTTTTGTCGAGGAACTCAAAATAGCGATACAACCTTTATAACCGCTAATGAAGGAGCTCCCCCTCAACCGCCGTAGTAATTGGGTAATTCGGAGTTTCCATCTCCAAAATATCCGCCACCGCCATTTCCGTCATTTTCACGATAGTTTCCTAATCTATTTGGATTTCCAGCTCCAAAACCAAAAGTGCCAGCAAGACCTTTCCAGGTCCTCACGATGTCTGATTAGCGCCAAGACAATGCTCAGATGAGCTGTTGAATCCAAACAGCCCATCACCAACACCTGCACCAGCAGCAACGATTATTCGACTTTTCAAACCGTTGAAATCTCCAAAATCGCCTGGTTCAAGACGGATGACGGATGATCCGCCACCAGAAAATTGGCCTGGACCTCCGCCGCCATAAGATGGAAGTTTTGCACCAGTATAATATTGAGATCCGACATGAAGATATAAATTTATAGGTTTCTCAAATTTAATATATCCTCTCACGTAAGCTCCGTTAGCTGCAGTTCCACCACCAGATACGTCCCATAATTCAAACAAATATTTTCCTGGCCGAAAGAAAATTTCATAAGGCTCTGAATGTGTTGCATTAATACCTCGATAATCATATAGAAAAGTTAAATTTTTCGTTTGAACCTATCTATATTTAAAACTACTTTCTTGTCAGAATCAATTATGAAAAGTGACAAATGAAATTAACTTAATTGCTCTCTGGAAATATTGAGAGTACTTGCCAATATAAGATAACGTAAACTATATAAATCTGAACAAGAATATTGAAAGGGCATCAATAATAGTTCTAAATCATTTATTCTGTTTATCAATCAATATATTTTATGCATCTAATTCAAAGCTTAAATAATCATCTATAAGTTCACATACAAATATTCAAATGTCAAATTTATTGAAAGTGTTGTTTATGATTCAATGATAAGAAGTATAAAATAACTAAAGATATTCATAGAATACTTTTGAGAACAACTCACATAATTTGTTTCAAATTGGGTAATTCGTATGTAGCCATTCCCTGAATGGCCAACCTCAGTGCCACCATGTGGACTTGGCATAGATGTTTTACCATCAATCATTACTGCGTCTGTGAACTTATAACCGCTGTAGTGAATTGATGGATCAAATGAATTAGAAAATTTAATGTCACTTTTCGTTGAAGAATTCAGAATGGCAATACAATCTTTATAACCGCTAATGAAGGAGCTTCCCCCTCCACCGCCACAATGTTGAGGTATTTCGGAGTTTCCACCTCCGAAATACCCACCACCACCGCCAGCATTCCCATCATTATCTCCTGAGGATTCTATTCTATTTGGATTTCCAGCTCCAAATCCAAAAGTGCCGGCAAGACCTTTTCCGGGTCCTCCTGATATCTGAGTGGCGCCAAGACCATGCTCATATGTGCTGTTAAATCCAAGTAGCCCGCCTCCAGCACCACCAGCATCCTCATAAAATGCATTTCCAATGAGTGTACCATCCTGAGACCCTGCACCAGCAGCAACGATTATTCGACTTTTCAAACCGTTGAAATCTCCAAAATCGCCTGGTTCAAGGCGTATATCAGATGATCCGCCGCCAGAAAATTGGCCTGGACCTCCGCCACCATAAGACGGAAGAGTTGCACCAGAATAATATTTAGATCCGACATGAAGATATAATTTTATAGATTTATCAAATTTAATATACCCTTTGACGTATGCACCGTTCGATCCAGTTCCTATGCCTGAAGCACCCCATAATTCAAACAAATATTTTCCGGATTGGAGAAGAATTTCATAAGGCTCCGAATGCGTTGCATTAATTCCTCGATAATCATACAGAGCAGTTAAATTTTTCGTTTTAACTTAGAATCAATTTAGAAAACCTTTTTTATCAAAAGCTAAGACGAAAAGTGCTCAATAAAATTAACCTTATTGTATCATCTCAACAGAATTATTGAAAGGACATCAATAACAAAGTTCTGATATAATATCCATGAATCATGTTATCATCAGTAAAACTACAGACAGTATTTCATTTTTCGAATTTATCGAAAGTGTTGAAGATATAAATAACTAAAGATATTCATAGAATACTTTTGAGAACAACTCACAAAATTTGTTTCAAATTGAGTAATTCGTATGTAGCCATTTCCTTCATGGCCAGTTTCGGTGCCGCCATGTGGACTTGGCATAGATGTTTTGCCATCAATCATCAATCCATCGGTGAATTTATAACCGCTGTAATGAATTGATGGATCGATTGAATTAGAAAATTTTATGTCACTTTTTGTCGAGGAACTCAAAATAGCGATACAACCTTTATAACCGCTAATGAAGGAGCTCCCCCTCAACCGCCGTAGTAATTGGGTAATTCGGAGTTTCCATCTCCAAAATATCCGCCACCGCCATTTCCGTCATTTTCACGATAGTTTCCTAATCTATTTGGATTTCCAGCTCCAAAACCAAAAGTGCCAGCAAGACCTTTCCAGGTCCTCACGATGTCTGATTAGCGCCAAGACAATGCTCAGATGAGCTGTTGAATCCAAACAGCCCATCACCAACACCTGCACCAGCAGCAACGATTATTCGACTTTTCAAACCGTTGAAATCTCCAAAATCGCCTGGTTCAAGACGGATGACGGATGATCCGCCACCAGAAAATTGGCCTGGACCTCCGCCGCCATAAGATGGAAGTTTTGCACCAGTATAATATTGAGATCCGACATGAAGATATAAATTTATAGGTTTCTCAAATTTAATATATCCTCTCACGTAAGCTCCGTTAGCTGCAGTTCCACCACCAGATACGTCCCATAATTCAAACAAATATTTTCCTGGCCGAAAGAAAATTTCATAAGGCTCTGAATGTGTTGCATTAATACCTCGATAATCATATAGAAAAGTTAAATTTTTCGTTTGAACCTATCTATATTTAAAACTACTTTCTTGTCAGAATCAATTATGAAAAGTGACAAATGAAATTAACTTAATTGCTCTCTGGAAATATTGAGAGTACTTGCCAATATAAGATAACGTAAACTATATAAATCTGAACAAGAATATTGAAAGGGCATCAATAATAGTTCTAAATCATTTATTCTGTTTATCAATCAATATATTTTATGCATCTAATTCAAAGCTTAAATAATCATCTATAAGTTCACATACAAATATTCAAATGTCAAATTTATTGAAAGTGTTGTTTATGATTCAATGATAAGAAGTATAAAATAACTAAAGATATTCATAGAATACTTTTGAGAACAACTCACATAATTTGTTTCAAATTGGGTAATTCGTATGTAGCCATTCCCTGAATGGCCAACCTCAGTGCCACCATGTGGACTTGGCATAGATGTTTTACCATCAATCATTACTGCGTCTGTGAACTTATAACCGCTGTAGTGAATTGATGGATCAAATGAATTAGAAAATTTAATGTCACTTTTCGTTGAAGAATTCAGAATGGCAATACAATCTTTATAACCGCTAATGAAGGAGCTTCCCCCTCCACCGCCACAATGTTGAGGTATTTCGGAGTTTCCACCTCCGAAATACCCACCACCACCGCCAGCATTCCCATCATTATCTCCTGAGGATTCTATTCTATTTGGATTTCCAGCTCCAAATCCAAAAGTGCCGGCAAGACCTTTTCCGGGTCCTCCTGATATCTGAGTGGCGCCAAGACCATGCTCATATGTGCTGTTAAATCCAAGTAGCCCGCCTCCAGCACCACCAGCATCCTCATAAAATGCATTTCCAATGAGTGTACCATCCTGAGACCCTGCACCAGCAGCAACGATTATTCGACTTTTCAAACCGTTGAAATCTCCAAAATCGCCTGGTTCAAGGCGTATATCAGATGATCCGCCGCCAGAAAATTGGCCTGGACCTCCGCCACCATAAGACGGAAGAGTTGCACCAGAATAATATTTAGATCCGACATGAAGATATAATTTTATAGATTTATCAAATTTAATATACCCTTTGACGTATGCACCGTTCGATCCAGTTCCTATGCCTGAAGCACCCCATAATTCAAACAAATATTTTCCGGATTGGAGAAGAATTTCATAAGGCTCCGAATGCGTTGCATTAATTCCTCGATAATCATACAGAGCAGTTAAATTTTTCGTTTTAACTTAGAATCAATTTAGAAAACCTTTTTTATCAAAAGCTAAGACGAAAAGTGCTCAATAAAATTAACCTTATTGTATCATCTCAACAGAATTATTGAAAGGACATCAATAACAAAGTTCTGATATAATATCCATGAATCATGTTATCATCAGTAAAACTACAGACAGTATTTCATTTTTCGAATTTATCGAAAGTGTTGAAGATATAAATAACTAAAGATATTCATAGAATACTTTTGAGAACAACTCACAAAATTTGTTTCAAATTGAGTAATTCGTATGTAGCCATTTCCTTCATGGCCAGTTTCGGTGCCGCCATGTGGACTTGGCATAGATGTTTTGCCATCAA